CTCCAGTTGTGATTGTACCAAAGAAAAATGGCAAGAAACGATTTTGTGTTGATTTCCGAAAATTGAATGAAGTTACAAAAAAAGATGTCTACCCTCTCCCAGTGATTGACGACCTTCTAGATTCCTTCCAAGGTACCAAATGGTTTACCTGTCTTGATTTGGCAAGTGGATACTGGCAAGTAGCCATTTAGCCTGCAGGGTAAAACTAGCATTTATTGTTTTGTAGGAAAGATGGACGCCTCGTTCTACATCGAAATCCTAAAAAACCAACTTCCAGAGATTAAAAAAATGATGGGCGACGATTGGCAGCTTCAGAAGAATAGCATACAAGTTGTCTAACCAAAGATTTTTTCAATAAAACGGTTCCATGCCTTATCAATTGGCTGTTAAACAGCCCGAACCTTAACCCCATTGAAAATTTATGGGGAATCATAAAAAAAAATGTGGAGAAAAAAAAACAAAAAAATTTAGATGAATTACAAATGTTTGTGATCGAAGAATAAGAAAAGCTTCAAAGAATACCTATAAAATTTTGATCAATTTGATGCAAGAGAGATGTAGAACGATAATTAATGCAAACAGCGAAAAAATAAACTATTAACAATACCTGTCATTTAATTTTGTGGTTTTTATAAATCAAATAAAATTCTATTACATTGTTATTAAATTATTGGCTGTTGCGCAAATGATTATCAAAAATTTTTTAAAACTTTATGGTACCACTGTATATCTTCTACCAATTAGCTTTAGATTAGCCAAAAACTTTATTTCCATTATATAAATTTAAGGATTTTTAAAAATCATATACTACCATCAAATTACGTTATTTGTATACCTTCAATAGTAAACTATATTTAATATTATCATAACTGCTGGTTCGAGTTCAGTTCACGACGTAGTTACTGTACGTAGAAATTTTTTTCAAATTAGTAGTTTGGGCCGCCAAAGCGTAATAGGTCAATTTTCGAACCGGGTTAAACTAGTTCCAGTCGCACCACTTAATATCCTTAATTATAATAATGCGTAAGTATCACTTTATTAAACGTTCATATTCACTAAAAAAAATAGAGCTTTTATTTATTATTAACTGTCTTTGAGCAGAAATATTTAATTTAAATTTAAAACACTAACACAATAATACAGTGTATATATTTAACAGTACGTATATACTATATATATATTGATAATGAAAAAAAAATGCAAATGTAAAAATATCACAAAATGCTGACAGTTTATTTAAAATGCTATAAATGCTATGTATTGTATATAAAAAAAAATAAGATGTATTGTTTAACTTCTTTAGGCGACGTCTGTCAACGCGAGAACATATATGATTCTCATCTTTCATCCTGATCGCGTATGTAATTTGTATATGGAATTTTAGATAGTAAAATATCGATTATTGACAACAAGGTGTTGGTTTCCATCACCGGAGGACGCAATTGCTGATGTATTTTTGTATTCGCATCTCCAATAGGAGCATAATTCTAATACATAGTGGACTTCCTCTGTCACTCAATAATCAATATTGAGCATTAGAATCACGCTTCTAACGGCGAAGGGGGAAGCCACCACCAGGATTTTGTGCATCAGCACCACGCTTATTGTTTGGGATGTTGAAAGTATTTCCTCCAGTATGTGTATCTACATCTTGAACGTCGGGATTACGTTTACTATACTTCCATACTAAATGTGGAGGATTGGAGCCTGTACCACTACCAACAAATTGGCAAGCTGCACTAGCTGAAAGAAGGAATATGGTAAAAAGGGATATTTTCATTTTTAGAAAGCGAAAGTGATTTCAAGAAGAGTTAATAAAAGATTATAAAGTATGAGGTTTAGACTCCAGAGATGGGAATGTAGATTGATGAGAATGGTACGAAATCCGAGCGGGTCTTTATATAGAAAAAGAGAAATTACGAATCTATGCATGTTCTTGG